GTTCTGGCTCTGGAGATGATGCTGTACTCGGGACCAGCCCTGAACAAGTCAGGCCTTCTGCCAAGAGGCCTCATCTGGAATGTCCAATGCAGAGCACAGGGCCCACTGACCTGTACTCTTCAACGGTTGGTCTTCTCCCCAACCCACAGTTTGCTACCCCAGCACTGCGTTAGTCAGCAGGTCACTGAGCCAAAGCTGCAGGGTCGCTGTAAGGCTGAGCTGGGTTAGCTGGGGGTGTTGAGGGGGTTTGGCGTGTTTGGGCCAGGGTTCCAGTGTGGAGCAGCTCAAGGGGACGGAGCAGCAAGAGGCTAGGAGCAGTGGCAGCAGGAAGGCTTTGGAGTGCAGTTGGGAACGCAGCAGGGCTGCAGGGCGGCATCCCGGCCCTTCCTCATCTGGCTTTCCCCAAACTCCATGCGCTGTTCAAAAAGCACTTTCTGCAGTCTGATCTCCTTCAGGACTTGCAGAAGCTCCGGCCCTGCGCCTCTCTGCAGCAGATCGTAGTTCTCAGCTGGGTCTGACTCCAGGTCAAAGAGCAGCGGGGGCAAGTGAGGGGTCAGCGGGGTCAGCCCGTGGCAGGCCTGGTCTGGGGTGGTATCGCTGTGAAAGGAGCCTGCAAAAGAAACCCCCAGGGCTCGCACAGCTGCTTCTCTTTGAGCTTTGGACAGCAAAATTATACGGGACATGACAAAGCTGCCCACGCAGAGGAGAGGAGGCAGCACTAACCTTGGGTGAAGTAATGGGCCTTGTACTTCCCAAGCCTGACAGCGAAGGGGCCATGCAGTGGATCAGGGGACGGCGGGTAGAAGAACATCGTCTGACGGGGACTCTGTGGGAAGCAGCAGAGCTAAACTCACGTGTGCAGCGACGAGGCTGAAGAAGAGCCTGGAACAGGACCAGGCAGAGACTCCAGGCAGTCCCACAGGAGCCCCAATACTACAGCCAGAACGCAGCCAGAGAGGGGGGAAGCTGGCGAGCAGCATCGCCCCGTTTCCTCCCTACTCAAAGCGACGGGCGCTCTGCCTGCCCACTGCAGCCATGGGGGTTTGGCCTGGCAACGTGTTGCAGGTGTTAGAGCTGAGCAGCCTGGGGAAGCCCAGCAGCTCCATGGCACGACCTTACCAGGCAGAAGGTCCCAGCTGATGGATCCCTCTGACCCCCACTGGTTCTACTCACCGGACACACAGCTCCAGCCCCGCACCCAGCCTTCATGCACAATGCCAGCCCAACCAGCCCGCAGGACTCACCTTCCCTGACCCAAAGAGCACTGGACTCAGGTCAAAGCCATCCAGGGCAACTTTGGGAAGAGCTGCTCCAGCCAGGGTAGCCAGGGTTGGCAGGATGTCCAGGGTGCTTGCCAGCTCATGCGTCACTCCTGTCAGCCACCACAGCAAGGCAGAAGGAAAGGTTCAAGCTCCTGACCCCACTCCCATCCCTGCCGTCCTCACTTCTCTCCCGCCCTCTGCTTGTCCCGGGGCAGCCCAGTGGCCACCACACCTTGCCTTGGCTGGCATCAGCACACGAAAGGCACAAGCAGTGCCAAGCCTCACCTGGAGTGATATGGCCGGGCCAATAAGCCACCGCTGGTTCCCGCATGCCACCTTCGTATGTTGTTCCCTTCCCACACTTCAGAAGGCCAGAGCTGCCTCCACGTGCCATCCGCATGGTGGAGGGGCTGCGAGCGAGAAGAACCACCACCCATCAGTTTCACAGGCTCACGCTACCCCTTCCCTGATGCTGCCAACGGGGCCACGGCAAGAGAGACATGGTGCCAGCCAGTGACATTGCCATCCTTCTCAGCCTTGTGAGGCAGGAGGCATGGGGCAGTGTGGCCGTGTGCTCTCCCCCCCCGCCGCCCCCTTCCCGGGCTGCTGCTCCAGCTGTAACTGTCAGTGGGGCTGGTGATGGGGTGCAACTGGACTTTGGGGGATGGATGGCAACATGGAAGCCAAAAGCTGCCTGCAATAGAGACCTAGATGTCTCACTGGTACGCAAATATGACTATAGGTCAATCACCCTACTCTATAAATAGCGGACAGCCCAGGGCCTGCCGAGCTCCTCTGAACAACAGCGGGCTGCACGCCAGCATCTCCCCTTGGGTAGGGACACCTCTCAAGGTTACTGCTCGAGGTCGAGAGATTCCTTGCTGCAACAGATCCTTGGGAAGTGGTTTATAGCATGCTAACTTTGAAATCTTAGTCAAGTGACACAAAAGAATTGATCGTGTATATATAATCGTTCAGGCGTGAACTGTTGACCAAGTCTGGGACTAGGGTGGATCCAGCTGCACCCAGACTCCTCTCTGAGAAGGAGTTTAGAAAACAAGGGCGTCTTTTCTGAACCTTGACTCAACAGGAGGGTCTCCCTGACAGTTCTCTCTGATCCTGTCCTCTAGGCAGTAAATGACCAAGCGTGTCTTGCCAGTGAAAGTTGTTAAAAGACCATTGCATTTACTACCAAACTTTGTTAAATCACTGGTTTATATCAATAAATATTTTGCTGTTTCTCTTACAAGCAAATGGCATCACTCCATCCTTTTCAGGCAGGTGAAGAAGACCAATGCCAGCCACACACAAAGGGAAATGCCATATATTTGAGCTTGCCTGCTCCTGGCCCGAACCCTGTGAGGCTTCTGCCCACAAGGAGGGACACAGCTGAATCACAGGAACAAGGAGCAGATCTTCCACTGCGTCTTCTCCAGAGCAGCGTCCACCTCTTGCCTCACTTCAGGTCACTGGGGTCTCACCTGGCAATGCCACACCACGTCCCTTTTGCCCCAGCCAACCAACGCCTCATTCCAGCTCCCCCATACCACGGCAGCAGAATCTGATCAGTGACAAAGTCCCCCCTGCTGAGCCCACTCACCCATTGTCAGAGGTGAAAAACACCAAGGTCGTGTTTGCAAGACCATTTTCCTCCAGAGCCTGCAGCAGCTGTCCCACTGAGCCATCAAACTCGGAGAGGGCATCACCAAAGGGCCCGCGCCGTGACTGCCCTGCATACTCCTGGCTTGCAAACTGGGGGTAGTGTGTATGCTGGAGAAAGGGCAGAGAAGACTGCTACGTAAACTCCCAGAGTTGCACCTGGTTCCCAGTTCACCCGAGGACAGTGAACACCCCAGCTAGGGCACGGAGATACGGGACAATACCCATGAGATGAGCAGGCTTGTCCCCAAGCTTCAGAAACATCTCTCAGAAATGGCAGAAAGGAGCTGAGCTCCAGGAGAGGCTGTGGAGCCCCAGAGTGGGAAGTTTTCCTGGGTGGACTCCTGGCCCAGAGAAGCGGGCAAAGCTCCAGAAAGCAGCCCAAGAGCATTATCAGAGCGGTGCTGCCACAAGACCTGGACCTTGGAACGGCAACCCCAGGTCATCCAGGAGCACCTACTGACTGCTCAGCACAGTCCTGGGGCTGCAGCAGCTGAGATGCTTCCCCGCTCTCCCTGCAGGACAAAGGCTCCCTTCCCCACCCGTGGGCCCGGAGCAGCCTCCCCCCTCTCCTACGTGGGAGGCATAGTAGAGCAGGAAGGGGAGGCCTCGTCGGGCACAGTCAGCGATGAAGTCCCGGGAGAACTTGTTGTAGAGTGGCACCAGATCAGGGAAGTGTCTGGGGTTGACATCTCAGCGGGTCTGCGGTCACGGTGGATTTTGCCACCCGCTTCAGGCCAGGCAGCACCTTCCCTGCACAGCTCCAAGAATCGTGTCCCCAGGTGTCACTTCTAGTGAACATCCTTTTGCTTCGTGTCTCCCTGTCAGAGTTATGTTCGTCTAACATTCAGTTCTGCTTTAGTTATACTCTGTCTTCTGTTTCATAACAGGCTCTCGGCACAACGAAAGAGACCGGCTGCTGCACGATGCTCTGGTTCCAGAGCAGCGGGACCGGCACTAAGCCTTGGTCACAAGTCCCAGAGCACTTGATGTCGGGTGGGAAGCAGGTGAGATTCTGGCAGGGGCCCTGGAGAGAACAAGTAACACTTTGTCTTTTCCCTGTGTTGCAGGACAGGGAGGGGAACAAAGTCCCACAGCAGCCCACCACCAGGTCCTACAGGCACCCTTTGGGCAGCCGCTCCCAGAAGCCCAGGGGCCTGTGCCCACCCGCGAACTGTCCAAGGACCCTGCTGCCCAAACCTCCTTTTCTCCCAGCAGCAATGCAGGTGTTTCTTTGCGGCCCAGAAGCTGACCTTGACAAAGGGCGTACGTCCCCACGCACAACCGCCACCCACGTTCTGCAGAACTGCCCTACCGTACGAGCACCTCGGAGATGGGCCTTCCTCAGCAGCATCCATCTCTCCCACCTGCAGCCACCCACAGCCATCTGCCCAGGCAAGCACTAACCTGGCTTACGTGCTTTCAAGCAAGCTTCATCTTTCAGGCACTCTCCCCAGCCAACCCCGGGACACCCTTCGGGGCTCGACAGGCCTCTCACCTGGTCATGGGAGTAGGGCACCCCCAAGAAGTGGTCAAAGCCCTGGTGGGTGGGCAGGAAGGAGCCATTAACCCCCAGGCCAAGGTGCCACTTGCCAACCATGGCTGTGGCATAGCCCTCAGCCTTCAACACCTCTGCAATGGTGACCTCAGACAGCGGCAAGCCTCCCCGCGAGTCCGGGTTGAACACACCAGGGTAAACCCCAGAGCGCATCTGGAACCGGCCGGTCAGCAGGGCTGCCCTACAGGGGAGAGGCGAAAGAGAGAGGAGACAGCCGTCACGCTGGAGGGAGCGCAGGTCGTGGCGCTCAGCCTCCACAGAGGGTGCCCCGTTCCTCGGAGCCTGGCAGCCGGGCTCCCCCGTCTGACAGCCGCCACTGCCACCTCCCCCGTCTGCGGGGACGTTCCATCGGGCCCCTCACAGAGCAGCCGGACCTTTGCGCCTCCCGGGACACGGCAGATTATCGACCACGCGTTCCTCCCGGCACTGCAGCTCCCCACCGGGCGCCCGGCCCTGCCTCGAAGCCTCCTCCATGCCCGGCCCGGGGCCCTGCAGCAGCGGCAGCCAGCGGGGCGGGAGCCGCGGGGCACGTACCGGGACGGGCTGCACACCGGGGAGCTGCTGTAGAAGCTGGTGAAGCGCAGCCCTGGGGAAGCCACGCGGGC